TCGCAAAAACGAAAATCGTACATGCGAATTAAAAGCAGAACAGATTTCCAATTTGACTCTCCCTAATGAAGCTTAAGAAGTCTCGTGGAGAAACACGTTAAATATTGACATCTCTCGTATCTGACGTCGCGTTTTCGAAAATACTTGCGGTGCGCTAACGCTTTCAATTAATCTGCATGCACTGGTAGTAGCTTAAGAAAGACCTTGCTATAATCAATAGTAGTACTATTGAGGTTACTGTAGTAGGACGTGCGTTAAAACCAAAATGAAATACCCGTAAGCATTGGGCGGAGTGGTCGACAACAAGCAGAGAGGTAACAGCGGTCAGAGAAAGACCCTGCTGCGGCATCAAGCTGGCAGCTATTTTCGTTCATGGCGAGAAAGTGGCATTGCTGTTTGACAAATTATATGATTGTCAAATATTTTTCGTGGCATGCGAGGGATGGGGTGTCCATGCGGGGAACGGGATGCCATGCGGGGGACAGGGCGTCGGATCGACGGCGATCAAAATGTTTTTATTGTTCAATCAACAGGCAGATAATCTAACTGAGTAAATATCAATAGTGTAAGCTGTACCAACCGCACATCACCAAAAAACATGGAATCACGTCTCCATACTACCTCGGCATTTCTACAGAAAATATGAAGTAATGACCACAATGGAGTATATTGCAGCCATGGAATATCAACGAACGATGACAACGCCCCCCCCCGATATCTCTCTCCGCGAATTGCACGCTATTATGTGACAGGGGCACCATTACACATTAGTGTGCGCCCTCACTTTGGCAAGGGGGACCCACAAAATGTCAATAATTGTATAATTCAATACGTATCAAAAACAGAAAAGGATGCGGTATGGATCAATGGATCTCAAAACTCCGAAACCCCGAAACAGTACGCGCCACATGAATAGACCCATACAGTTTTTCATCGATAAATTTGGACAAATAGAAATTTGAGAAAAAGGAATTGCATTGATTGAAAGCTAATGATTGGACGATCACTTTGATATACGATTCGCCCATTTCTCCTGAGCATCACTTAAAATCACTCACAATCGATTTTCCCGGCCAGTAAACCGCGCCAGAGAAATAGACCCACACAAAGTTCCGGTCGATAAGGTAGTCAAATTCACAAGCGAAGGCTGCAAAGAATTGATAAATGCTTATTAATGACCTAGACACTGTCAACGAACGCATCTGCAAGCGACGTATGGGCCACTTGTCGCTCCTCTCGGACTTGGAGCGAGGAATGATAATTGCCCTGTACAGGCACGGTTTTAGCGCAGGGCTATCGCAAAAGAGGTCGGAAGGTCCACCAAGTCCATTAGGACAGCGTTGACGCAGAAGGAAGCTTATGGCACGCACTACAAGGGCAGATAGGCCACTGTTCTGGTTGGCCGCGAAGTGCGGCTCCTCATTCGAGAGGCTTCAAAGACTGGTTTGTCAGCACGAGGCCTCAAGACCTGCCTGGACATCGAAGCCTCGTTGAGGACACACCAGCGACGATTGCAGTCATCGTCAATCATGGTGTACAGCAAGCGAAAGCACATGCCGTTCCTCTTGAAACGGCACAAGGAAGAGCGTTTGGCGTATGCCAAAAAAAATCTGGTTGAGCACCTGCCTGGTCAGACATTAAATGGTCGGACGAGAAGCGATTCAACTTGGATGGGCCAGATGGTCTCAAATACTATTGGCATGATCTACGGAAGGAACCAGACACGTTTTTTACGCGTCGAATTGGTGGAGGTGGGGTGATGGTTTGGGGAGAGTTTTCTTCTGTTGGTTTGTCTGAATTGGCATTTCTTTCTGGAAATCAAAACTCTGAATCATATTGTGATACGTTGGGAAATTATCTTTTTCCTTTTGCTCATGAAATTTATGGCGACGATTTTGTTTTATGCAAGATGGAGCATCTATTCATAAGTCGAAGTATTCAATGGCATTTTTGAATGACGAAAATGTTACTCGTTTCACCCTGCACTTTCTCCCGATTTAAACCCGATAGAAAATCT